GATGGTAGAAACTGGTTTCGATTCGTTTATTGAAAGTGAAATCACCGGGAAAACTTTGACAAGATGGGAAAGAATTTCAAGGTGGAAGCCTAGCAAGAATGGAAAGCGAGCAGACGGGTTCCGCCGATCGCAAATCAACACACCGGATTTGCAGCTAACTAGCCACTCGGATTATGCTGTAATTATGCCAATTTACAAAAGTAAACAATTTTGAGCGCAAGCAATCAATTGCCGGCTTCAGCCGCTAGTAGAGCCGTCTTGAATGAGTACGGTACGAAAGCGTAGCCAAGGCCTTGGTAGAACTTCGACTGGAACTCCACCCTGAAAATTGGTGATAGGTTGGTGGAGCAATCACCAGTATTGCCTGCAGTTTGAGAAACAGGAACTTACCAATGAAGACGAAGTGCATGAAGGAATGCGGAAAGGCCTTCCATCAGTACCAGAATTGAGAAGGTGAGCACTCCGAAGAAGAAGAAAATTACGTAGACTGCTATGTAACCAGCTATTCCATCCAGGGCAAAGGCATTCGCGAGCACCATGTGCCAAAGCACTTCAGACAGCTCTGCAATGGGAAACAGATAAAAGATAGAGAGTTCTCGACAGGTGAAGCTGTAAAATGGCAATAATAGTAGAGTAACGAGGAACTTTAATCGGGACACCCCAACATTGTGGTAAAGTTATTACTATTCCAAAGAGGAACAAATAAGAACGCACGTGCGTGGGCGAGCGACAGAGCCCAAAGTCGAAGGTATGAAGCGGTGTGCGAAACACATCCAAGCACATATTCAATAGTGTGAATCGCTTGATGGACCATCACATCACCAAAAGCCTAAATGGTTTTTGATTCAGAATGATTTTTGGATTTTGATTCAAATGGTTTTTGAGAAGAAAAAATGGGCTGGAATAGGAGCGCACCTCATCATGACCATGTCCGCCGGTCGCCTCGACTTCTTCCTTCTTGTGGATGGCCGTTTATGATGATCTCCGAGTCATCGGCGACGACGTTCGCACGCACAGACTGAAAAGCCTCAAGTTCAGAACCGCAGTATCTAACGAGCGCACTTCATGAGCTCTCGCCGAGCTATAATAGGAAGGCAGTAGACTTTCTGCTATAACTAGAGACATGGCATTAACTTGCAAGTACAATAACTATGGCTGCACTGAGAGTTCTATCAGGAATTTCTTCCAAAAGGGCTGTTGTGAAGAAAAATCAAGGCCATCGAGGTCATTAGGGCGCAGTTCGGCGATGGGGGAGGGGGGGGGGCATTTTGCACTTTCGCTGCTTCACTAGTTCTGGTTTACAAGTCTCACTCTGGTGAAACCTGTGAACTCTTGTGAAGCTGGAGCAAGCTCGTCGAAACCATGGTTAAACCTGCTGGCTCAAAAAAGGCTCCAATGGGTCGACACGTCGATGGGAAGCAGCGAAAGTGCGAAATGCCCCCCCCCCCTCCTCGCCAAACTACCCCGGCCATTAAAATGTAAGCAAGCTCACTATGTTGCTGCCCATTGCTTTCTTCTTTTTCCTCTCCTCCATTATGAAGAGAATCGGCTTTCCGAAGAGCATCACTGGGACACACAACACCGCTACTATCACGAGGAAAGCTTCCACACCGCTCTGAAACACTACTTTACGTTACAAGTTTTTGGCTTCATGAAGAGTAAATTCTGCAATTTCACCTGTCCAGGATACCACTGAGTCAAATAACATTGTTCTTGCTCCGCGTACTGCACTGGGTTACTTGTTCCGGCAATGGGCTGAAAATTCAAAGTAAAAGGATTTCAGTACCTTCTTTGATTGGTAACTTCTTTAAGTTGGCCATGAAGTCCAAAGCAAAAAGTACAGTAGCTTTAAATCAGATCAGGCTCGTAATAAGAAACCGAGGCCACAATGTGTAGTCTAATTCGTTGCGGAGAAGGGGCGTGGCACGGGGACTGGCTTTGGCGCGGTACCAGCCCGTTTTCCACCGATTACTGTCGCTACTCAACTTCAACAACTAGTGGAGAACCTGCTTCCTCCGCGCCAAACCCACTTCCCTCACATACCTTAGCATCCGCACCGAGCAGAACGCTACAAGGTGGTGTTCTGATTCATCAAGGCTGCATCAAGGGTGGATGCTGCGTTCATACTTTACAGCAGCGTCCAGCCTCGTCTACAAGCGACCATCAGCGTTTCGAGCGTCCGTCAGCGCCAGGAAAGTGTAGATGTCGTTCTAGCGAACCGCAGCTTATATCAGCGTCCTCCAGCGTCTACCAATGCCGTCAGCGACCAACAGCTTCACGAGGGACTAGGAAATTATGGATCTCGACCTACAACAGCGACCAACAGTACGGAATTGTGTAGTAGTACTGTGTGATTGCACATGTCTCAATTCCACAACGCCTAATGCAGCTGTCTCCTCCCTCATACTTCCCCATACTCCAGCAGCAACCTGCTACCCTCCTACTTCCCCATAATCTCTACTCCTGGTCGCTGGTAGACGCTAGATCGATATCCATACATTCCTAGTCCCTCGGGTCGCTGATGGGCGCTGGTAGACGCAACCGTTCGCCAGACAATATCTACACTTTCCTAGTTGCTGACAACGGCGCTGACGAAAGCTCGAAGCGCTGATGGTCCTTGGTGGACGCCGCCGCAAAGTATGAACGCAGCCCAACCCACTAAGAATGGAGGACCTGGTTAGCGTGAGTCTTAGACGTAATTCCACTCTTCAATTTTCAAGTCTGAACGCTCAGTTCAGGATTGCAATAATTTTGGAATACCATCTTTAGCCTATCCTTGAATGACGAAGATGTAAAAGTTGAGGCGTTAGAGTGCAAAGGAGCTGGGAATAAGTTGATGTAAGGTCGCACTAACCTTATCCATCTGAACGAAACCGGGTGGTCTTTCCTTGAACATGAACATGCTGATAAGACCAATCTGAAAACCCCTTTGTTAATGGAAGAAACTATCGCTGGAATAGAGAATTCACCAGAAGAGACGGAGCGCAGTGGGAACCAGGATAAAGCTGGCCAAAGATCCATTCCGCTTTTACCCAGAAGAAAATCCATTTTATAATTATCTGAAAGGCTTTTAAATTGACCACCAGCTTTCCATGAGTACCTAAAAGGAATTGAATGGACCTGTATGCAGAGATAGATGAAAATGCACGTCATGAATAGCATCTGGGGAATGAACACGGTGAAGATGTCGATCTTCGATTTGAAAAATCTGCAAAAGCCAGGTGAATATAAAAAGGATTGGACACTTTGAGTTGCGCTGGCTTGGGAACCTTTCGTCGTTCTAGTAACGAAAATATTTCAAACTGATAAGGTGGAAATTTCAAGCTAAAACATACAACCGCGGAATTTTGACCAAAATTTGGGTGGAAGAAAGGAATGCTGGCGAAAACGCAGAAAACCTTGGCATAGACCTCACGACTTATAATAAACTCCATGGACTTCCGGAACTCGTTGACAGTAAAGTATTTCCTTTGTACTGTTATCTAGTCTTTTATTTGGATAGTCTTTTTATTTTATTCTCATTTTGGTCTCTATTGCTTCGCTGTTTCTCTGAAAAAAACCGACGAATTATTCGAAAACCATACCTGTAATTGTAGAAGCTCAATATAACACCGAATGTCATCTGTGCTATTCCGACGATAACAGACAGCTTCATTTTCATCGAGTTCAGGAAGTTCAGTTTGTTTTCAGCGACATTCCATATGGGATCTACGCCATATGGATACGGCCCATCAGCATGTTGATAACTGTAGCCAGGATTCATCTAAAATCGCTACTGTACTCCTTTTCAGGTGGATATAGAGACTTTTTCCTTAGACGATCCTGTCCCGGATGTGGCTCAAAAGGCTCAAAACTTATGAACAGTAGCGCAGACACCTACTTCTGAAGAGTGCACTTTTTAAAAATATTCTGAAGTATCACTTATTTCATATACGCTCACGATTTCTAGGAGAGAAATGCGATTAGCCGCTCGGGTTATTGACTATCAATTTTTAATCCGGAGGCACTTCACAAGCCAGAAATCGTCCCTTCATGCTAAAACCAAGGAGAACCACGCAATGATTTCACATCGGCTCCTTCTCGAGCCGAAGATAGCCCTGCTCTCGGTGAATTTACTACTGTTCCAGTTTAGTTTCTGCAGGGTACGGACCGGTTACCTTCAATATCTCGCCTCCCAGAAAACTAACCAGGAAAGGTCAACAGGTCGCCATGGCCATTCAGGATGGGATGCATATTGGCGTGTGCGTCTCAGGACACTGAACTCAAATTCGCTTTCAGAATTTGCGGAACGATTCTCTAGGAGGAGTTAGGGGGGGGCTTCAGCACTGTAGCCAAGCCGAATACTCTTTGCGCTAGTTCAACTGGAGTTTGAAGGTCAGAAGCGACAAGTGGTCGATGGTGTACTGGATAGGTAAGTTGCTTCATAGATGGGAGTCACGCCAATATGCATCCCATCCTGAATGGCCAGGGACTCTGTTGACCTTTCCTGGTAAGATATCATCCGCACTGACGCAAATCTCCTCAGAGGAATCGGAGCTTCAAGCTCACAACCAACAGACGCAATCATTCTGTCGACTTCTCCGTTTACTATCATGGGCCTTTACTCAGAATTTTCTCCCTGAGAATGACCTCTCTGTTGCAATGAGGGGTTTTTGCGACATGAAAATAGTGGGCTCCTCCTTCTATCCGACGGTCTCTATGTTGATGCTCATGTGCTTCGGTCGCATGGCGGAAGCCTTTTTATGATGCCCTCCCCCTTTTAGTACCGGCAGAAGAAGATCCGCAAGGTCTCTCTCTCCCTATCAAGACAGCATGGTACCTCAACACATTGAAGGTGTAGAGACTATCAGGCCCGCCCAGTTCGATGTGTCGTGGTCCCCCCGCCCAAACATGCCCAGGAATGAGATACAGGACCGTGAAACACGCTAATTCCTCCATGCTCCGCCTTATACCTTTTTGCGGCGCAGATTCCCGTCCTTCATAACATCCGTCGTAAGCGCGCGTGTCGCGTGCGGCTCCTTGGCACTTTGCCAAGTCCTTTAATTGCGCTCTCAAATACGAGTAAAACGCAATTTCCTGATGCGGATAACATTGGAGGTGCTACAAAATAAGAACAGAAGATGATGACGAGGGCCAGAACTCAAGAGCAACTCGGCTGCATCTGCAGTATCCATCAGAGGCCGCGCATTCCCACAAAACATGAGAATAAAAACAGCCCAAGCGTCCCACTCGTTTGTTCTAAGTATTTCTATGGCTTTGGCGCCGGATTCGCGCCGGATCGTAGAAATTTACAGGCGATTTTAACTAATTTGCCTTTCCTTGATTTTTTCACTTTTGTTTTATTTACATTTACATCGTTGTGCTTCATTTCTAGCCTGTGTCATCTTCATCTCCTTGTACATGGATTGAAGCATGAGCAACACCCTAAAATTTTATTCGCATCAGGAAATTGCGTTTTGCTTGTATCAAAATAACGAGTATGCCGTTTTTATTTCATGTTTCGTGGAAATACGCGGCCTCCGAGGATGTTGCAGAAGTGGCACAGTTGCTTTTGAGTTCTGACCCTCGTCATCATCTTCTGTTCTTATTTTGCAGCACCTCCAATGTTATCCGCATCAGGAAATGCGTTTTTACTTGTATATGGAGAGCGCGAATTGAAGGACTTGGCAAAGTGCCAAGGAGCCGCACGCGACACGCGCGCTTACGACGGATGTTATGAAGGACGGGAATCTGCGCCGCAAAAAGGCATTGGGCGGAGCATGGACGAACTAGCGTGTTTCACGGTCCTGTATCTCCATTCCTGCGCATGTTTGGAAGGGAAAGCGCTATCTTCGACACGCTGGGGGGGGCTGCTAGTCACAGTAACCACCCTCAATTGTGTGAGGGTACTATGTGTTTTTAAGGGAGCTTCAACTGCCCTCGTTGGAACGAAGAACTTTCGTTCGAAGACAGAATTAGGAATCCAAAACAACACAATAAGATAGTAGAGCATCACCAAAGCCTAACCTCAATCAAGAATTCCTTGTGGTTCGCCTCACTTTCATTCATCCAGGCAGAAAGGTCGCGTTGGCTGAAAGACTGGTGAGTATTGCAAGTGGAAGGCAGATGGGCATTTAACTCGTACCTGTACGGATTTAGCCAAGTACTTCCGAATATATTAAAGGATTTTGCGAATGCGTCGTTGTAGATGATGCCTGCGTGAATCGAGAACAGTCCCATCAGTAGAATTATGTAACGTCCACCAAAGAACATTCCAAAGATCTGTAAAGAGAGAAATCCCACTTCGATCGGTGGAGAAAGGGCTAGGAACGAACCTCGTCCTTGATATTGCGGTCGATGAGGTTCTTCTCTCGAAGAACGAAGTAAAGACCACATAGGAACATGAGTAAACCATGTCCCAGGTCTCCGAACATGCAGGCAAAAATGAACGGGAACGAAATGATCGTGTACGGAGCTGAAATGGAAAAAATTCAGAAAAATGGAGAAATTCAGAAAAATGGTATTCATCAGTGAAAGATTTTCCTAGTTGCGATCTTGCTAGTACTTCCTGTTCAGACCACTAGTCGCCTTGTTTGGACCATTTCCAAGAAGCCAAGCTTTGTTCGGGCGGCTTGAAAAAGTGCATTAACCAAGTTGTGCAAATTTCTAATGCCCCAGCAATTTAATATCTACAAGTCTTCTATCCTTTGAAGGCACCCTTCTTGTCGGACAACACTCCCACGACCGTTGAGCATCCGGAACGCGAATAGTGGGACATTCAATTTCTGTAAACGAGTTGTAAAGTCACTTCGAATTGTGCTACTGCTCCGAGTGCTTCCTAGAACAACACTGGGAATACAAAACATAACAGGTGATTTCTAAAGATAGTCCTTGGACCAAGACGAGCATTAACCCCATGGGAGGTTATGCATTCAGTTGGATGGCCACCCTAATGATAGGAATCTTCCACCAAAGAATCGGTACAACCGAATGAAGCATTGGTGCCGGTCAAGTGCACAGAATCTACCAGTTATCTTGGGCCAGACTATTTTGCCACTTACAATTAGGGACGAAGGGAGATCATACTGGGGCCGTTCAACTAGATGAAGGGGACCCCTCAGCTTTGCACATGATTTCGTTCAATGGATCTGCTATTCAAGCTGGACACGGCGTAAAGATGGAGCAGTTCAACTCATAACCTTACTCCTTCACCTTACAACAGTGGAACAGCAAGTGAGAGGCTCCCAACAAAAAAGTGCCACTTTGTCCTCTTTAGCCACTTCCCTCACTTCATCTGCATCTTCACCATCGAAATTCATGGAAAAGGTGCGGCAGAAGATTGTAGGGGAACACAGAACCTCTCAGAATTGTATAGGATCAGAGTGACCTGAATACGGCCCCCTGGTTGAGGACTACATATTGAGCCGTGCCCTTTATAACGGTATGACCTAAGTGACACAGGCCACTATGATGAACCAAAACCCAAAAAGGCAAACGCATACCAGGATTCAATTCTTGGTAGGTGGCGATTCCATAAGAATCAACAATCCCTTGGAAGACTTCGGTAAACTTGTTGGTCCTGTTGTATGTGGGTGGTTCCTCTGCAGTCTCCAGAACGTTCAATACTGGCTGAACTGTCGAGCCGGATGCTTCCTGAATATGGTGAAAACTTATGTACATGGGAGAACTATTATGGTATTATTTCTTGTACTTTAGCTAATCACTTACCGCTCCCCGTTCAAGCGCTGCCTTCACTTCTTCCAAGTGAACCAAGGGTACCCAGCACTCAGCCACAAGAATTTGCCGTGCATAAAAGGTAAGTCCCGGTTCAGATGGTGGTACACTGTTTTTTGCATTCTGACCTGCAATATTTTTTCGTAACTTTCTGCTTTTTTTCGCCTGCATCCTCTTCTATACTTATTCACTTTTCTAGTGAAGAAAAAACAGCACACTCAACACATTCAAAAAACAGCACATGTAAAAGGAAAGCTATCTACTGAGAGACAGACAGACAGACAGACAGACAGACAGACAGACAGACAGACAGACAGACAGACAGACAGACAGACAGACAGACAGACAGACAGACAGACAGACAGACAGACGACAGACAGACAGACAGACAGACAGACAGACAGACAGACAGACAGACAGACAGACAGACAGACAGACAGACAGACAGACAGACAGACAGACAGGCGTTGCCGTTTATGTAAGTAGGATACCTGTCTCAGCCAGTTGTTGTGATTGTTGGCAGCCGCCTGTAGGACCCGATATCGATGCTCTTGGGTCTGCCCAAGAACAGTCTTAACATCTTGCAGACGAGCTTTCACATCAGTACGGGCTGACTGTCGGTCCTGAAGTAATTCTATTTTGATTCGTCATTCTGAGAGAAAAAATGCAAATCTTTTACCTTGAATGTCTTCGGACAGTTCTTCATCAACTTCGCCTTGAATCCGTCGCACACCTTCTCCACGATACTTCGAAGCCGATCTCCTTTGGAGAAAATAATGAACACATCCTTATGGACCTTTTGTCCCTGAAAGAAGTTCCTCATTTTCTAGGAGTCAGTTCACTGGTATGAATTTCTGTCTCACGGTTTCATCTTCCAAGTCCTCCTCAATAGCTGCGCTCCTGAGATAAGCAGTGTGATGGCTGGCTCGCCAGAGAACTCTCTCAAAGCCCAGCAATCGCTCTCGTCGAATCACTCCAACCACATAGCTGAATATCACACTTATTACATTAGTCAAAAAATATTCCCGAAAATATGGGCACATTCTTCGTTATATAAATTATTATGATTGAAGCTAAGCAAAAAGGTTGTAGGAACAGACTTGGGCAACCTTGAAGAAATTCCACGTCGAAAAGTTGGAGATTGTTCTCCACCCATGCGTTCAAAAGGGCAGGGGTGCTCAGAATCTGTCATCCTGCTCTTCTGCATGCTCTCTCGCTACTCTTGTCGGGTCCCTCCAACGAGATCCCCGTCGATTCTTGGTCTTGGAAATGGATGATGGAAATTGGAAAAAAAGGAATAATTGTTGTTTTTTCTGTTCTATTTTCTTTTTCTCTATTTTTTCTTCCCTAGAAGTTTTTGGGCTTTTCTGGTGATGTGCCTTTGATATGAGGAGCTCTTGGACGTTTTGCAGGCTTTTCTTTTCTCGGGGGAACAGTGCATACTAAAAGTGTTCAAACAGTGAGCTTTAGGGGTGACTAGCTTCTGACTATCTGATGCCATACGGAATCAGCGACTAAGCCACAGAATGGATTTGGGAGGAACGGGAATACGGGATAATGTTCTGTGGACTTCTGTAAACACGAAATGGAAAAGACGAAGTGTCAGTTTTTGTTTTTCTTGAAGTGTAATAGCTCGTTGGGATGCAGCAGTAAGTAAGGAGAAAGTGACGGCTGCGGAGAAACGGTCAATAACTCGCTTCGGACGCGTTAATAGAGTCTGCTTCGAAGGCATTATGCTTTTTGGTGCGAATCTACTAATCCGGCCCTCTGCAGTTTTTAAGGGAAGGCAAAGGAGGAAGAAAGAGAGAAGGAAGAAAGGAAAGAAGGAAGAAAAATAGAAAAAGGAGGGAGACTCGCGCTCCCAAGACGGGGGCGTGAACTCCTACAAATCCAAAGTCACCGTTTTGCACCGAGAGGAGTGTAACGGAGATCCTTCCCGCAGAACCTTAGGCAGTTTTTCTCATGCCACTAGCTTATACAGTGCTTTCTTCGCACTTTGCACTTGTCCAGTTTCGGAAATGACGTACAAATGAAACTTGTATTTGTACCTCGGTAGGAAGTTACAGCGATTTTGATTGCATCAAATGTTGAAATTCTACAGTACTTTTCAAAATTGCCCCTGTATGATGAGAGAATTATTCTTGAAGTAGATAGTAATCTAGTGCCTGAGGTTGGACTGGGCGAGGTCCACCATCACGGTTTTCTCCGTCGCTGCGGTCCTCCTTTCTAAGAGCACGGGCAGGAGGGAACAGTGGTAGTCCCAGCACCGTCCGTACGACACGTGGGAGATGCTCCTTCCAATGAGTCATGTATGCTCCACAGAGTTCGTGGTACATACACGGTCCAGTATTCATTCAGGCTAGGCAGCAGTAGTAACTCCATGCGATCAGTAGAGTGCACACTTGAGCGCCTTGAGGGGCGCGTTAAGGAAAGACAACTGTCTAATTGCAACAGTGAAAATATCGAGGCGAAATCCGTTAACCAAGTGCCCTAGCAGTGGAGCCATCAATTTAATGGAAGTCATCCTGTTCGTTTTGGCGTGTCCCCACACTGTGATCAGAAGTTTGACCAGCTGCATGTTTCACTCGTGTATTGGCAAGCAGTAGTCCCATGAAAGGCGTGGTGTCACTGGTACAGGTGTTCACAGCGCTTTTGAGAAACTGGATGGTTGTTCGAGGATAAAAACAGGTCACTAACGAGCACCATTGAAACGTCAGCGCTGTAGCGAAGCGATGAGCGTGTAGGAGGAAAGAGGCGAAACCGAGCTGCCACGAGGGAACCGCTCTCGTGGTGCTTTTTGGTAACGACAGAATGACAAATGAGGTGGAATGTGTGCTAGAGATCTACAGCTCAACCCTTCTGTTACTCCTTACTGAAGTCGAGAGCCTCCTCATCTGCCCTCAAGTTCACAACGTCGATGTTACAAAAAGCTTCGTCGATGCCACCCTTCCGAAACCACTTGCCTAAGGCCCTGAGAGTTTCATCTAATCCACAAGGTTTGAACGAAATTAATGAGGAAACAGAGAATCCCAAACATTGGTCGGACCAGAGGAGCGTCGCTTCCTCGACCAACGCTGGTCGGACCAGAGGAGCATCGCTTCCTCGACCACGTTGATACCGTACCACTGCTCTCCGGAAGTAGAACGCCCACCCTCCGATGAAACTGATTCACATGGACACTGTGCACGGCTCCCAGTGAAGAAAGCTCTTTTAAATGTGGGAAATACACAGAATCCAGTCAGAACTACAGGCAAAAAGAGCTCAAAAAAGGGACGCATCAAGCACTATTTAGAAACGCACGGCGGCACAAGAACCACTCAAGCTTGTGTTTGTCTCTTTTATCCCGACGACAAGGGCCCCCACACACTAAGCCCTGTGGATAATGGTCCAACAGGCAAAGACAGCAATGCGCTTCCAAATCTCCGAAAGAATACACTAAACTATCGCAGGAAGCTTAATAGAATGTAGGAATCATCAGTAACATTAAATTCAGGTGCGGCTTGAAAAAAAGGTGGTACACACACCTTCTATCTGCCGCCGCGACCACCTCGTCGTTCCCTCGTAAGCAGGAATGACTGTCTGTGACAAAGGCTCTCCGCATAAGTCAACGGAGCTCCTCCTCTTCGAGGATGAGCGCGATCGGCAATCTAGGTTTCTCTTCGAGAGGAATAACAAAACCGTTGCACATATGTACTTGCTAGTGGTAGTTGTTGGGATCAAATACGCTCCAGCTTTCCTCCCAACCTAACGAAGTTCAACAAGACATACTTCCTTGCGACCGGCCGGTAATGCGTAGGCTAATCGCGTTATCTCTCAAAAAACAACCGAGCATTATTTATTAAAAAAGAGCGCATTGTCGTGGAGAGGGCGGCGCAAACAATAAGCGAGCCCCGCCGCATCCAACAGTGGCGGAACGCGTACATTTGAAAGCGACTTAAGCATTGGTCAAATGAGGATACGAAGTAACGTTATGCAACACCTGAACAGAAATCTGCACGCTGACACAGACCTCACCTATACTTCAAATATACAGCATATAACAGTGGTGAGAAAACGAACACGCATCTTCGCATCCATTATAATGTTATTCATTATTTTATTCACTTTCCTCACTTGCTACAGGGTGACGAAGATTTGCAAAAATTTTTGAATGCTCACCTGACCGGCGCTTTTCTCGCCCTTGCCATATTCCTCCTCTTGGATGTCAAGTTCTTCAGCCGCCTGGTCATCCACTCCCTGTAACAAACTGGTATAACTTTGAAGAGTAGCTTTTGTTGATGGTGGAAAACCAGAACGGAACTCACTCCATGGAAAAATTCGTCCGTCTTTTCAAGAACCGCCTCCCATTCCTTGAGTTCCAAATAGTTCTTTTTGAGTTGTGCATCGGACTCGTTCATGTTTTGAACGTCCCTCTCGAGGTCAGTGAGCGTCGTCTGAAATGAACTGGTTCCTCTAGGTTACCAGAACCTGACCATCTCTAGCCCAACGCGAACCTCTAGCTGATTTAACTCTGGTGTCGGCATCACGCTATAATCTCCTTCAACCAGCCTTCCAGTGATCAGGATCCCATCCTTTGTGATTTGTGATTCAAGAAATCCTATAAAATAAATAAAATTTGGCAACAAGTAGGAGGAAGCTTTCAATTTTATTCTAAGATTGTAGGTAAATAGTATTTCCCAAGTTGTGCTCACTCAGCTTCCTTTCCATTTCATCGTATCGTCGAATGTCTCGTACAAAGGTCCGTTGGAAGGGATTGACATCAGGATTCAACTAAAAGGCAGGAAATGAGAAGATTGCAAAAAATTTAAATTCTGATTCGGAAAGTCTTGTTTTACCAAAGTTCTTCCTCACGCGTTACAAAGAGCAGTTCCCAGGAAAAAGTGCAACATCTAATAGAATGGTATTCCCGTGCTCGAAAAATGTCCTCTGGTTTCAAATATTTGCTCACCTCGACCACTTAAACGGATGCAATTGGACTTGGCTCACTGGCAGTGCAATGGAAGGAGACGCTACCTACACTTTATGAGCTGTAGGAGTTTAGCTCTATGTGCTTCG